AATTAACACTCTGTTTGTAGCAAATTTTGACTCTTATTAGTAAAAGAAAATAGTGGAGATAATAAATTAACTATGCGGGTGTTGAAAAAATATATGCTTGTTGCCTGAAAAATCTTTAATAATAATTTTCTGGTAGAATTCAATAGTTAATATGAAGTTCTATAGTTAATATGAAAGGGAAAAGAGTAAAGGGAGGCTTAACTTGAACCAGTGGGTTGCTCAGTTCAGCGAGCAGGCCTCTTTTCTCATGAATAAGGTGACCTTAACTAAAAGTTTGAATATTATTCTTTTAACAACACATTTTTAAATATTCTGGTATTGAATAAAATCCTTTCATTACCACTAGTAACGAACCCTACAATTAGACTCCGGAAAAGAGGGAATTTTTATGCCTCTCTCTCAAAAAGAATTACAACGAATCGCTAGATGAACCTTATCAAGAGCACAGAGTGGTTCAAATACTACCAAATAGAGTGAGGGGATTTTAGTCCCGGTGGTTTCACAATGGGCCTCCTAAAGACCTAGGTACGTCGGCTGTCATTTCTTACACCTACCTACCTACCTATATTACTAGTGATAAGATATCTAATTCCTAGCAAAAAGAAATCTATTATTTTTCCAATAGAAGGCTTTAATCATCTCTATCCGGGTTGTTATACAGTATATCCGATCGGGTTACGCTACATGGTGTTAGAAAGTTTGTACTAAAAAAAGCTCTCAAGCAGTTTTGTGATTGCTTGACTCAATATTGTTTAAGCACGCGTCAAAGATGAATACCCGCAAAGAGAAGCCACGGCATAGTTTACAATTTTTCTTGAACTCCAACAGTCAATTTTTGTTTAACCAATTCCGTTCCGTTTGATGTCAAAAATGCACCACACTCTGTAAGGCTAATTATCGAAAATATGAATAAAATAATGGAAATCGTCGAGTTCGACCGTTTCTCATATGTTAAACCTTGCGCAAAAAACATTGTGTTCCATCATGACTGGCAACTGTCAGACAAGACACAAAGATCGCCAGAAGCTCCGGGAGGGACAAGGATTTCTATGGGACTGGCGATAGACCTTCAATTTCATGCAAAAATAATGGATTTTCTTATATTAAACCTTATATTTAATATTTTTTTGCTGATAAACGAGATTTTGGTGTTTGACTTATGGTAAATTGGTTTTGACTCGCTATTTTTTACATATCTGTCCTGTTGTTTAGAGACTTGCGGCCATCTTCTCAGCTTCCTCGACTTCCTTGATTTTAAGTAATTTTCGTTTTCTCATATTCCTGTTACTTTCGATTCGGTTGACTAATATGCAATACATTAAAATTGGTTTTCACCTTAACCTCTGTAATTAAGTGTCTCACAACAACAATTGCTATGTCAACTCACATGCAATTCAAGATTAATTAACAAAAAATTCATAAAGTTCTACTCAAATATACTAAGAGCCATTGACTTTCAAATTTAATGATTATATTGTTTTCACTCTTCCCTCTAGCCTTTTGATTTTTGGTGTTTTTCTAACTATATTGACATAAAGTGCCATAACCTGCAAAAACTGGGTTTGGTCGCCATTTTAGCGCTTGATTGGCATTAACAATGCACGAGCTGCAATTCGCTTCTACAACGCTTAGCTGCCATTCATGCCACAATGCAATACCATGCTGCAACACTAGCATGTTGGTGTTGTTGTTGTTGTTGTAGTTTTTGGTTGCTGCAACACAAACATCAATCAGTCACATAAATCAATTTAATTATTGAGCAAACAACGCTTGGAAGTCAAGAGAGTTCTCGACGGCGCGAAAATCGAGTAAATACCTAGTAGCAGCAGTGGCAGTGACAATGGCCAACATATGCTTCCACCGTTATGTTGGTGTGTGAGCTTAATGCACGTATTTACATTTGTCTACGGGCAGTGGGTTGGCTGCAATGCTTTGAACCTAATTATAAAGGGCACGTAGACATATATATTTATAACTATGAGTCTATTTTTTTTCTGGGTTTGCAGCATTTCGAGGCACTCCCCTCAACCCCTCACAAATTATTGCTGATTTTATGTTTTTTTAATGCACAGAAATTTATGTATTAACAACCGAAAATAATACAGTTAGTCAATTGGTTATAAATTGCTAGAAACATTACTTATGTGTGTATATGTTTGTGTAGGTGTGTATGTGGTTCGAGGTGTTGGCATTTATTACTGCCTTACTACGTTCAGCATCGCTTGCCACATTTATTGACTTAAAGGTTTACAATTTCCTATTACCTGCCAGACACATGTTTGGCTGTATGCAATTATTTGTAGGCAAATGTACAAACATACAAACATACATATATTTAACCCCATTGAAAATATTGAGTGTTGATTACAAGCCATAAAAAACTAAGTCAGCAACTAAACTATTGCATTTATTGTTTCACTGTGATTTTATTGTTGTCTAACCATCAATTGGCAATTTTCGAAAGCAATAAATTTGATGAATTGCTCACGCTTGCAGCGAAATACGAGCGCACATTTACACCGTAGCGGTTTTTTCACATTTCAAATGTGTGGTTACAAGTGTATATGTGTATTCGTATGTGTGCAACATAAATGCCTTGTGCTCTTTTAATACTTAGCACCGAGTTATTGGCTGTTTTAGTTCAGTAAGCATCTTGTAGGATGGATCAGCAATTTATTATCTCGTGGTTAACTAGATATTTTTATTGCTTTCAAGCTTTTGTTACGGTGCAGAAGTAAAAAGAATGTTTAAAAAACAAAAACAAGATTTTTTTGTTGTTTTTTTTTTGTAATTTTACAGATTACACTGCTCATAAACACTAACCAACCGCTTCAGAAATGGATCCATTTTCTTGCATTTCTGCAGCGATTCGCAGATGGCAATTTGGTACATGAGATCGGGTTTTTGTGCAATGTTGTTTTCCGAGGCAATCAAAATTGTGCGGACACGACGGTTTCCATTATTTATAAGTTCTTGACATCAAATACCCGAAACCATAATTGAGCGTGGTTGACAGTAACAGTATCAGGACCTTATCTTTTAAAAGCCTTGAAGCATAACCCAATCGCACTCATACAACGCGAGAGAAAGATTAGCATCTACTGAAGAAATAATAAGTAGATTTGACCTAGATCTTACTGTTATACGAACTGCGATTGGACTCAGGCTCTGAAAGTAATTTTTATTGTGATTCAATGGTAGAAACGGTTGGGTTTAATGCCATAAAACTTTGACAGTATTAAAGTAAGTAACAGTACATTAAGTCAACATACGATCTCACAGTTCAGTTACTTCTCAGAAATTCTCAATATTGTTGTTTGTACCTTGCTTGAGTCGATTTGAGTTTTAGTTGGGGCAATTGTCGTGATTCCAATAGTCGGAATTGTTTTGAAATAATGATTGATCGAAAATCTTTGACAAGGAACAAGCTATGGTTCTATCTTTATATATAATTCTCATTAGTAAAAAAATCCAAATATACTTATTGCTAGAAAAATTTATGGCCGAAACTTGGCAGAAAAAAAAAAATAATAAAAACATTCCTAAACGCAACGTATTTCCAATTATAACTCTTTCACTAAGAGGTGTTGATTGTCTTATGAGTTCTTTCGATGGTCGGATGGATGCTGTTAAGAAGCTTATGTTGCTATCCCCGGTAAATATTATGGCCGGTTAGCGGACTAGCGTTATTTTGAGAATCAATGCAATAAAACCGCGAAGAAAGAAAGTTTTTGGTTTCATGTTGAGTGTTCATTAAAACCGATAAGTCTATTTTTTAACCGTTTTTTCATGTTAACTTGATTTAGAGTACACGTAAAAAATATTGGCCGCTAGTACTATTGAAACTGTAATCGAAAAGAGTACAGTGATGCTCACACAAATAACAAACTTCTGCTTTTTGGCGTAAATTTTTGTATTCGACGTAGTTTAGATATAGTTGGTAATGTTTTAAGAGTAATTATAACAAATAATTTTGAGGAATACTGCTGAGTTGACAGTTCTTTACCAGACAGAAACTCGGATTCGTTCGGAATACGTGGACCCGACTTTTTCATATCCTGAACAGGGTATATTAAGTTTGCCACTAAATGTTATATACTCAAAGGAAAACGTCACAGAATCAATAAATTTTAAATGTATACATATATACCATAAATGATCAGCATAACGAGCTGAGTCAATTTAGCCATGTTTCTCTGTCTTAATATACGCGAACAAGTCCTTCAGTTTATGAGATATCGATCTGAAATTTTGCATACGTCCTTTTCTCCCTAAGAAACGGCTCTTTTGTCAAAATCGACAATATCGGACCACTATACCAGATAGTGTCATACAAACTGAACGATCGGAAACAACTGCTTGTATAGAAAACTTTTTCAGTTGACGAGATATCTTCACAAAATTTGGCATGGAATATTATCTGAGGCAATGGTGCAATTTCCAAAGGAATTGTTTAGATCGGACCACTATAAAATATAGCTGTCATACAAACTGAACGATCAAAATTAATTTCTTGTAACGATTTTTTTTTTGTATTTACGAAGGGTACTAAAGTCAGCATTTTATCTTCTTATTAAATAAATATCTGTTATTGTTGTTGTAGTTTTTGCATTATTGTGCAACAAATTCACTTTTCAGCGCCGGATAATGTACTTGTATGATGTGTCCACGAACAGCAAATATTTTGTTTGTGTTATTTTCATGTTAATTTAATTCCTTCCATATAAACACACAAACACATGCATAAATACTTGTGGGTGACATAAGTGGGGAAAACAATTTCAATAACCAATTCAAAATCAACTTTGATCCATTTGAAATGAAACCGATTGTGGAATTTTGAATGAAGTTAATGGGTGACTTTCTAGCTAACTTTGTGCGAAAAGCGTTTTGTAAACAAAGCAACATACCATTACATATGTATATATGTATGTATTTGCATTACATTGTTATTATTATTGTAATAATCTCAAACTGCTTGTTTTCTTTTAACTTTTTAGCACAATAACAACTCCAACTGTGTTGTCCACATTGGTGACAACTGCCTCGGCAACAACGCCAACAACAACAACAGCAACAATAACAACTATACAACAACACAATGTTTTAGTTACGGCAACAACATCAACAATTGGTTTAGCGCCAGCCACAACAATACTAATCCCCACAGACCAGTGTCCATCCATCAACAATATAATTGGCTTGAATAATGAGAGGAATAATAACAACAACAATAATAATATTAATAATAATAGTGGCAACACTGAGTGCAGCACAAAGAGTAACAACAAAAATGTCAACGATTTGAACAAACACAAGAGTGACAGCAACATGAATGCCGTCAGCGACAACAGCAGCAGCAACAGCAACATTGGTAACAACAACAACAATAATAGCAGCACCAGCAGCGGTGGTTTAAGCGTAGGCGATGGTTGTGTTGGCGGCGGCAGCTACACGGGCAGCGAGAGTGGCGGCAGCAACACAATCATCAATGGCGACACAAATGCTAGCAGCAGTGGCAGCCACAGCTACCACAACGGTAAACATGAGAACAACATTGCGGTAATCGCACAGTGTGGCATGCGCAAACACGCCGCATTGCCGGCAAGCGCAACAATGTCTGCGGTGACAGCAACAGCGATGGCAGCGGCGGCGGCGGCAGCCGTGGTAGCAACTGACAATTTTATCATTTATCAGAAGCAACAACAACAGCTGCAGCAACAACAGCAGCAGCAAAATCATCAGCAACAATTGTTGCTACAACAACAACCACATTTCGATGCTGCAATTAAGACATATGATTGCGGTGAGCAGACGACATGCAACGATTTGAGTTTCGGTGGCATTGCTGCTGGTGTTGGTGTGGGCAGCAACGGCGGGGGCGTCGGTAGCGGAGGCGGTGTTGGTGCATTAAGCGCACTTGCCGGTTTGAACAGCAATTTGGAGAGCGAATACAGCGCTATGGTCGCGTCGGTGTACGAGCACGAGATCGCTTAGTGAGTATATATAACCGATTTATAAGAGTTTTGCTTTAAAAATTTTGTACAGGAATTTAATCCGAGTGGTAGAGGTGAAATAATTGATATATATTTGGTCCTGATAACCTCAATTAATAGCTTTAAGCCCAATTTAGCGCTGGTAAGATGATTGCCTCATAGTCAAAAGACTATTTTTCTGGGGCTTGAACTATTGAAGTCCTTAATGACCGAGTCCTCTGGCCCTCAACTTTTTTGATTTTCTTCTTATTTGAAACGTAGAGGCAAAAAAAAAACAACAACCTTGAAAGAGTAACAAACCCTTGATAAAAAGTATAAGAACTCGTAATGCCTTTATGGAGGCTCCTTTGATTTTATCTGATAAATATATTATCTTATAGTTTTAAGGTACAATCGAACATCTTCGGTATTTGTCGAAAACTGAAAAGAAATTTAGAGGGAAGAAAGTTAATATGCTCTGGGTTCGAGTCCTGGTTTATCTGCGTAGAGTGTTTACTTGATATAATTCTAAAAAGTAGTAGTCTAGTGGAGTTAAATAAAATACCCACTTCTTGAGTGATTCGTGCACCAAAAGTTCTTTTCAGAAAAAGTTGTTGGACTTGTTGTTAGAACTAATTATCCAAAGTTAGCTGGAGATAAAAGCCAAATATATAGTTTTATTTTTATTTTGACAACTGATTAGACTGCTATTTCTCTAGGAAACTCTGAACCATTAAATAACTACCTATATAAACTATGAAAATATGTCCAGCAAATTTATGGATTATTAATTAGTAGTTGAAATCACAACTTTCGATGGTGACTAACCAGCTCTGAAAGCCTTCAATACGATGACATACCAATGTAGCATCAACTAGAGGAAGGGAGGCCTTCTCTCCTTTAAGGAAATGATGTAGAGCAGATAGTTGACTCCACTAGGTATTCCGAATATTACTATCGATATACTTTCCAATTCTATGTGGATGTTCTACCATATTCCAGAAACAAAAATCTTTAGAAACTTTAGAGCTGATTTTATGTGAGTCTCTTTTCAAATATGATGCTACTTTACAAATAAATAGTTCGAGTTTTTAAATGGTTCCAAAAGGTTATGTTATATGCGTCAGAAGCTTAATTAAAACAGAACTGCGCTCAGATGTCAGCCAAAGTTCGATTGCTGTTAGATACTAGTTGACTGTAAGTTCGCCTGGTTTTCGGACTATTCCTTAGCAAACAATAATACAAATTATAAGACCTGGCCCAAAATAGCGCGATCATGTAACCGGTATGTTCACGGATTTGTATCTGATTAAAGCCCATCTCCAAATATTAGCTGCTACAATAACATATATAGTTTGTGAATTAATATCTTTAGAAAACATTTTTGGGAATAGCATTAGTTTTAAACTTCTTACCGTGACTAAGATATGTACATGCTTAAATTTTTTGAATATATTTATAACTGTATATATTAGGGTGGAGCGAAAAACCAATTTGTCAAATTTTTATATTATAAAAAAAGAAAATTTTTGGAAAAATCAAAAAATTTTTACGAAATAAAAATTTCAACTCGAAACTTTAGTTTAAAAGTGAATGGCCACGTCTAGATGTTAAAAACAGGTTTTTTCCAAAAATTTTCTTGTTTTATAATCTACAAATTTTACCCTCAGGGTAGGCAAAAAAAAATTTTTTTTCGCTCCACCCTAGCATATACATATGTCTATCAAATAAACCTGGTTATAGTCATACGCCTAACCGATTTGTACCTACAAATGTTTTCGTGCTTTTTGCGCCTATTTTCCACCAAAATGCAATAACAAACGGTCAATTTCTCAATCACACAACAACTATTCTCAAATAAGTACATACATATTGTACATATTTACACATATAAAAGCCTCGAATGCAATGCGTGTCATTCGCTAATTTCAAGCTGTTCGCGTTCGCCGCTTTAGGCCTCGCATGCGTTAAAAATGCAGCAAAATGTATTCGCTCATAATTCCGCAGCATTTCACAAATATATATTCAACATTTTCACGCAATCAATGTTACATTGCGGGCATTTTGCTCCAATCGCACTAAAATGGGTGGAATGTTTCATGAGCTTACCTTAAATGTTAACCCAGACATGACTGTATAGAAACATAACTATTTCGACTTATGTACTTTTATTTCTGGCGGCACTGAGTACGAACATTATTTGTTATTGTTGTATAATTTGCCGTTGTTACTTGAGACTAGTGAACTAGACTTGCAGCTAGTGAAGCGCAAAAATCAGGTGAAAAATGAAGGTATGAAAGTCGTATCAATTTGACTATTTTATTTGGGTTATTTTATTTGAGACACATATGAGTGTGGTTGGATAAATCTAACTTTTAATTTTTTATTAACACAACACAATAAACATAGATACACTTAGAGAAATAGGGTTGTGATGCAATGCCTAAAACACATACCATGTACTTTACTAGAATTCTATATTGAGCTATATACTTCGGTGATCCAAAGTTACTCTCTAAGAATTTAGAATTTCACCTTTGAGGAAACAAATAATGTGAGACATTGCTTCCAGATCTTTTTGGATCACATATCTATTTTCAACTCTCAGCTGCGGTTCCTATATATATATTTTAGAAGTTGCTCGAGAGAAGAAAGCCTGTTCTCATAGTTATTCAAAGTGCTCCCTACAAGGTGTTACAGTTTCTGATAAATATACTCGATAGCATTTCAGTTACCTGATAAACTCTGGTATTAGAGAGTATAGGACTGTGAAGGGTTATTCATGGATATCAAGCATTTCTGAGGCTTCTTGAGCCGTATAGTCATTAAAGCAAAATACCTCATTATCTCTCGGCTAGTGGAGAGTGCTTTCACAAATAATTCAAGACACTTCTATGGTGTCAAATTCTCTTTTAGTAAAAAGAGAACATGACGGCTGTAAATCCCATCTCTGAGTTTTCGAAGCAGATTCAACCTATAGAGAAGCCAAATTAACTCCCTTAAATTAACAAATTTTCAAAAAAAAAATGTTGGAAAATAGATATATGATTAGAAATCTAAGTTCATTCCGATTCTGCGAGCGGGCTGTTGTGAAAACGGGCGTAATTTTTTTCAAGTTCACAACAAAAATTGGCACCAATCTGAGCATACTACTTGAAAGCGAAGAAAAAATATCTGACTTAAAAATTGACCGATTTCTCAAATCGCCCTCGTATAACTTAGATTCATAATCGCACGTTCATATATTTAACTCCATATTGGTTAATAGTTCTATATGTTTGTTGCCATATTTGTGCATTGCTGCTTGCAATTGTTTTACCATTTACTATATTGACTAGGTCCACACTTCAACGAACAAAGAAAACTAGTAAGGAGGTTTGGCTTAGTGAGGCCTGAGCTCAGCTTGTTACTGTGCGGTCGCGATATTTTTCTTGCCATTTTTGTCTAATTGCCGACAAGCTGTCGCTTATTATTCGTTGCTTTTCGTTTGGCTGCTTGTAGAACAACTACCATTTGAGTATCTTAATTCTTATAAGTGCATAAGTGCAATTACTATGTAATGCAAACATACACGTGTACTTATTTAAAAAGGTACTAAGCTTACGGCTGTGTGAGTGCAGAATGCGTTAGAGGAATTTTTATGGTTTTATTGGTATAGATTTTCAATTTCGTTACAAATTCTCTTGCCGCTTGTGTGAATGGCGCCATTGCGGACTTTGTGAATGTTGTCTGACTTTTTACTCGCATAAACGCGTAATTTTTCACTGATTACTTATAAATATTTATTGCTTACAAGTGTTTTAATTGCGATATTTAGTAAACTATGGTAGCAGATTAGCAATGCGGCAAATTATAGGTTTTATATTAGCCACCCACGTTGTGGCACTGAACTAGTGGTAAAGTATTGTAATTTCGAAGTGGATTGAGCAAACGGTAGTTTGTAGTATGAACTATGTTGAACCCTAAAGATTATGTTAGTAAAACTTTCGATAGTTAGTTAAATTTAGGTACCAATGCATTTATTTGAAGGTCCTTTAAATGTATACTCTAAACGGGGTATATTAAGTTTGCCCCGATGCTTGCAACACCCAAATCCCAGGAAACGTCGGAGACTTTATAAAGTATGTACTATATATAGTTAGTTAGTGATGTTGATATTAACTCGAAGCTTCGGTGAATAATCAAAATTAACTTCGGTTTATATTCGCCCAGGATTAGATGTCGAAAGAAATTACACCAACAAATATTAAATATTCTCTTTTTTCTATTTTCACTTCGAAACTTATTGAATATGCCTCTAGAACCCATACTTACTCCGGAGATCCTTCGAAGAATTTATACGTTCTCAGCTCATTTTATAACCATGCTTCTCTTGATTGAATAAATCAAGTTTTTATACTTCAGATGGCTGTTTTCAGGAGTAGTGATTCTCCGAGAAACATTTTTGATCATTTCAAGAAAATATTTTCCATTACTACCCAACCAACTGCATTTGTTCCAAAACTTTACACCAGACTTGTGCACCTCAAACACACAAAGAACTTATATTTTCCAAAACCTAACCTTCAAAAATTTTAATTTAACAATCCAAAATTTATTTTTCTCATTACAGCAGCGACTGTGCATCTGTTGCCTCGGACTTAACCCGTATGTACGTCAGCGATGAGGAGGACAAAAATGAGTTTCCTGTCACGCATTTCACTTGAAAACGTTAACGAAACACTTCCACTACACAAACATATACAAAAACAAAAACATATACATATTAATTAATGTAAAAAAGTAAAAAAAAAAGTGTAAAGATCTAATCGATGTTAAAACTTAAGAACGTAAGAATATAAAAACACTTTCTTCTACAATTGGCCTTTACAGAGTAAAGAATGTGATCTTGCAAAGGGAAATGCTTTATACTATTGCATATTGAAATGTTAAGTAAAAAAGAAGAAGTTAAACTATTACTAAACTGGTTTCTAAAACGCTGGCCTAGCTAAGTATATCTAAACAGTCTATACAGACATATAAAAATATAAAAAACTAGTACTTCCTACGTGTACACAAAATGCTGTTATTTTCCTATTTTCCCATTTTCTAAACTAAATAAAATCTAAAAGCGACAATTACTGTTATGATATAAATTTTTTGTTGTCTGATGCTCAGAAGCGGAAGTTCAAAATTTTCAAAAATATTCTTTTAATCATTAAATTTCGAAAATTTGTCAAATTTATTATAAATAAGAGTTTTGCGATTTCGGGAGTTTTTTTTATGCAATCCCGAAATTTCGGGATTTGTGCGCAATGGAATTCTTCTATTTATTCAAAAAAATATTGTTCCAAAATTGTTTTAAAATGCTTTCAAATAATACTTCGAAAACAAACCCGTAAAATTAAAAAGCTTAATTTCATATAAATAGGATTTTCGTGAATTCGGGAGTTTTTTATGCAATCCCGAAATTTCGGGATTGGTGCGCAATGTCATTTTATCGTTTGTTCAACAAAAGAATTCATCCAAAATTGTTTTTAGAATTTTTTCTATGCAGTCCCGAAATTGATATCAAGTAAACTTTTTTCTATATCAACTGTAAATTTATTCGAAATTGCCTTCAAATTCTATATAATATATAAATCTTTATCTTTTAATTTCATTTATTCATTACTTCGCTTTAAAAATATTCTGAAAATTGACCTGTACTTTGTCTGAAATACAGGCAACGAGAAATCGGTAGAGTAAAGTTCGGCATCCCGAGACTATACTCGCAATAAAATTTCAAAGAAAATGATTTATAATACTTTTAGGAGTTTTGGGCTTTGGTGTTGGTTTAAAATCGTTTTCAAAACATTTTTAAAATATACATTATATTAACTTTAATAAAAACATAGCAAAATCGAAAACCAAGGCTCATCACTCTGAGGCTATGCTTTCAATAAATATTTTTTTAGAATTATTTTATATTACTTTTGGAAATTCTGGGATTTTGGTGTTGATTTAAAATCATTTTTGAAATATTTCAATAAAATTTTAAGCTTTATCAATCATTAAAGGCTACTAACCCATCTTTGGTGTTGGGTTATATTATTGTAATCATAATTTTCAAGTTATATTTTCATTAATACAAAAATACCAGAATAATATAATTTGAGTTTGAAAACATTTTTAAATTTTAATTGGTGAAAATTAAATATAAAAAAAAAAATCTAGTTCATGTGAAATTCGCTATATGGATTTTCTGTATTTTAAACCACTAAATACTTTCAATTAAATTTGAGAATTTTTCAAAGCTTTGTCTATGATATTTAATAACCTGTAAAGTGTTTAATCTAAATACCGCATAACTAATTTTAATTATAATAATGAAGTTATAATATAACTAAATTTAAAATTAGGTCAAATTTACCAGCGATTTCGCAAATTTTTTTTTTCTGCATTAGGGTGCACTGTTTTTACATTTGTATATAATTATGTTTTGAAAAATTTATCAAATTGATATTGAAAACTCTCTTAAAAAAAACTTAAAATAAAATAAAGCAGAATAAATAAAAATTTCAGCCTAAAAAAATAAGAACAACCCTAACACATATTTCCTTTTATTATTAAACCTAATTTGTAATGTATATTTCATAATTATCTTATCTATTTACTTATTGCCTACGCAGCAATTGCAGTCATTATACAATTCCATTTACATACATACATTTATACAAATATAATAAATTTACTCTAATTATACAAATTATATATATACATATATAATTATATATATATATATATATATATCATATATTATATTAATGTTAGTACTAATATGCATGCTATTCATACATAAAAATATATTTACATAGAAAAAGAATAAAACGTAAAAAAAAAATTAAAAATTTACAATGTGGTTTATATTTCAATAAAAATTTGCGGTTAACACTGGACCACCAAAATATTTTTATTTATTTTTGAAACATGATTTTACCATATTCTCACTCAATATATAAGGAAAACCTTAATAATGTTGTATAAACTATATGCTATAACGTGAAAGTGTTTGGAGCCTCTTAAGACTTAAGACAGTTCGTTTATTAAATCAACTCTATTCTGGAAGCCAAGTCAGTTTTCGGAGTTCGAAACAAAAGTTCGAAAAATCATATGATATTGGAAAAGGAAAATTTCCGAAAATCTCTTCGAGCCAAAATGCTTTGTGAACTAGAATGTGACAGGTTTTCTCAATTAATATCTCAAAGACTTGTAAGGATAACTGTAAATCTCATCTTAATATAAGCAACTCCTGCAGACATGAAATGAAAAGATCCGAAGACCTTACAGCAGTTTTTTATTTGAGTTTTCAGGAAGCCTTAGGTCTAAAATAAAAGCGTTTATGGAATTAGACTGGCCGAGAAGGCTTTAACTTTCAACTATCCTGCTTAGGTTAAGTTAAGTTAGTATATCTTAGGTGTTAACGCAAAACCAGACTTGGTTAGACATAGACAAGTTCTTTGTGGTAACAAAAACTTCTAAAACCAGATATAAACCCTCATTGTTCAACAAAGCATCTTGAGCTCATAACAATCATGCTGAGTAGATTGGTTTCGCTGGGCTATCCATAAGTAAGAGATCTAAGGACTTTCAAAGATAATCTTGCGAATTAAAGCGGGTAAGGATGATACTGCTACGGCGCAGATTCTTACCGTTGATTAAAGCTCTTCAAGCTCATAAGAGGTCAAACTATCCGGTAATAAACTGCAAGAAGAAATAACAACTGCGACCCATTCCAAGTCTCGTGATTTTGAAAAGATCAGTTCAAAATTGTATTTTTAGCTAGTCTAATTTCGAAAATCCAAATTATCACTATTGTACTATGAACTCTGGTACCAAAATAAGCACCGCTTTTATTACATTGAACATGGTGAATCATGATTGCCATTGGTCTCTCTACTTAACACATCTAATCACCATCAATCATCATGTCCAAAAAATTTCAGGTTTATTTTTACGTAAGCACGTCTGGAATAATCCTATTTATTTTTTCTACCTCTAATCTCAATACATTGCTCGCTTGGATTTTAGATTTTACCACATTTTTCGGAAGCTTATTGAATTTTTATTATCAGAATCGGAGAAGTGTTGCTAAATAATGTCAAATACCTTTAACTGCTATCATCAAGTCTCTCTTATTATTCTAGTATTAATAGAAGACAGTCTTGACACCACTCCTGTAAGTCACCACTATTTCTGGTTAGCCAGCAAAACAAGTTCATCACACATAAGTCTTTCAGTCTCAGCATACTTTTGTACAAACATTTTTTTTTCAATAAAACACCGACAAAATCATATACATATTAATCTGCAACACCGTATTTGCATGCTGTTCAAATAAATTGTTTAATAATTTGCTGCAGACACGCGAGAGTGTTATATGGGAATGTCGAACAGAAGTGTACGGAAGCTGAATGGCCAAAATCGCCAAAGTCACGTTTTCATGGAAAAAAAATCGAAACAATATAGTTCTTCATAACATATGTATGTATATATTCATGTCCAATGCTCATGCTAGCAACAACAGGTGTCAACTCTACATATGTTGGCAACAACTATGCGAACCAATACCAATTTAATAATAATTCCAAAAAGGCATATACATTTTTTCCAAATTAAATTGGCCGACAGTGGATACCGAAAATAAAGGTATCACCCACATTTGGTGGTACAAACTAAATGATTCGGCGAAAGAAAAAATCAATAAAAGCATGCGCGGTATCAATGAATGAGTGAGAACCGAGCTAGCCAATTAACCGAAACACTTCATTAGCAAAAACAACAAAAGTGTAACAACAGCTGACAGCATCAAACGCTAAAAAACCAAAACGGAAGGAACCACAAGGAGAACTGACAAAAATTGTAGCGGCTAGAAAATACCAAATCTACACGGACGCGAACCGCAAGAGCGAGCATGTAATTAGCCACAGCCAATTTCGTATGTAGACACCTAGCAGTAGCAACAACTAATGCTAAGCGTGGCAGGTAGTCAAGCAGGGAGCGCTGTGGAGCTTTGTGGTAAATAAAATTTTGAACGGTTGCTTCTGCGCCGCTGTGTTCAATAGTCGTTACACCTCTTTGCCGCTCTATGCAGAAACACATGCTCATGCCTTCGCCTCTTTGGTTTTGCCGACCCTCCAGCTCCACTGCCACACAGCAGGTAAACAGTCAATTGGTAGCCTTATTATGAACTTTTACGCCCGTCTAGTCGGGGTCACACATGCCAACCGTGTGGGTCGCTATTTCGCCGCACTAAACTTTCGTTGCAGTATGAGTAGCTCGTGTACGATGGTGGTTCAAAACACATTTAGTTTACAAAAGAAAAACGAAAATGTTGGAAAAATGGCTATTTCTTTCTCAACATAGGTTTCTTTAACTCCAACTGGTAACCAATGTGAAAAATTCGTTTTCTAGAGGACTTTAAAATATTGGCGGTGATAATCTTCTGACTTGATTCAAATTTCTGCCCGAGAAGGGACTTTTACACGTTTAAAAACTAAAAGAAGTCGTTCGGGACTAATATTGGAGGACACGGTATATTAAGCAGCAGTTCGTAGCCTAATTGGGACAGGTTGGCCATAGTAACGGCCAAAATTGCGTCGTTTTTTCTACAATTGGTCCAATAAATCGACATAGCTTACCTTACTTCGTGTATACCAGAAAGCGGCGGAAATCCCTTTTGCAGTCGATAGGATAATATTCGTTTCCTTTGGTTCTCCGGTGAAGTCTACTGTTCCTACTATTCTGTTGATTGCTCTGTTGGTCCACGATCACGATATGTCTCACGTGAATGTCTGCGTTCAATTTTCCCCCGTGATAACCGATTTCGGAGTACCTCATTGAAACTCATTAAACCAAATAGCCGATATAGAAGAAAAAGAGATACCGTATGCAACATGTGAACGTTCCTATATTTCACTGCGGTATTTGCCTTCTAAAATCAGCTATCGAATCATTAAATGTACTACTCGATAGTGAAATTCTCTTGCGATAAGTCATCATTGAACCACCCTCTTATTTGTAGGCATTCGCTTGCTGCGCGCAAACAGCAACAAGCCGGTCATGTGCACGATATTGCCGCTTTGGTAATGTCGCAATTACCAAAACAGCC